TATTTCAATGACTTACGTAGGAGTGGCTTCCCTGATTACAAGTAATTGGAGGCTCCCCTATGACCCTGAGGTTCCAAGGAGAGAAGCGTTAATACTCTCCCAGTAATCTGTTCCAGGCTAAGCTCTCATATACACAGATTTACATGGGGAAGGCTATCAGTGAGATTAGCAACCATTCTTTTTCACTGAAAGCTGGGAGTCCAGAGATTACAGCAGAAGGCAGAGCCAGGTCATAAATCTGCAGCACCCAGGGCTCTGGACAGCCCCCCTCACTGGCAAAGCAACTGATGCTTCTGCCAAGGAGGCTCCAAAGAGGCTATTCATCAACATCTCATTTGAAGACTTGACACCCAAATTGAGGTACTGACACCCAAGTTTACAGACCTGAGCAAAGTCCAATGGTGTCAAATCTGTATAAATCAGAATGTGAGGTCTGCAAGGGCCATGAGGGGTAGGCTCTCCTCAGATGCCAGCCTCTGACTCTCTGAAAGGTTATAGCATCTGGGGCACTTCGTCTGGAGCCTTCACAACCAAAAAGTAAGTGATGAACTGAAGTCCCAGCTCAGGAGCAGGTCGGGGGAGCTCTTCACCAGGTCACATCAGGGTGATGTTGGGTACTCCGAAACGAGGAAGACCTAGGCAACTGCTACCACTGTGATCTCTACCTCTGTCCTTCTTCAACTGGGCTCAGATGTTCTTATGTTCAGTGCAGCGAGCCCATATCATGTCATCATGTCTTCACCCTCACAAAAGCCAGGGGAAGCAGACCACTCTTTTCAGAAAAATGCCTGATTGCTTCTGCTCACCTTCAGGACTCAGTTCAAACAAGGCCCTCTGTGAAGTCCTCCCTTAGGCCAAATGGTCACTCCTTTCCGTGCTCCCACAACGCACAGTTCACAACTTGGCTATAACACTTCTCACACAACATGGTCATTATTTGCTTAGTTGTTTTACCCCTCAGACTGAGGCTCCTTGAGAACAGAGACTGTATTTGATTTTCTGGATTCCGAGTGCCTGGTCTGTAGAGGCCGCACAGTATCCTCAATTAACACGCAAGTGAGAGACTTCCTGATGAAGGCCGGCATTCTCTGGGACCCAGTGAGCTGCAGCACCTCTGGTGAAAGGTCATATCCTATGACTCTTGCCTTAAGCTTGCAGAGAGTCACAAGCACTCACCCAACATTAACCAAGTACTTGCTCTGTCTGTGCCAGGCTGGCATCAGGCTAGGCACCGGGGAATCTGAGTCAAATTAGACCTGGTCCTTTCCCCATGTACCTTAGTCTAAGGAAGAGACCCACCCTGCCCTAGGACCTTCTCTCCCAACAGTCAATGGAGTCCATCTGCAGGATAAACTGAACAAGTGTGTAGACAAACTGTAATGCAAATAAGCTACCACATGCTCAACCTAAGGTGGTGGGCACCAAAAACAATTCACTGGGGTAGTGGGAAGGAAATATTAGAACTTCTGTTTATATTTATTTTCTATTAAAAAATAAGGAATTAAGCTTTAATAGTTAATGTATAGATTAACAATGTTGTTGTTGGGTGCCATCGAGTCAATTTTTGACTCACAGTACCCCACGTGACAGAGTAGAACTGCCCCTAGAGTTTTCTAGGCTGTAATCTTTATAGTAGTAGATCACCAGGCCTTTCTCCCAGAGTTGCTGGCTGGGTTCCAGTGGCTCCTAAAGGACCAACCTTTCAGTTCAGCAGCTTAACCACTGCACCATCATGGCTCCTTGGATTGACAATAGTCTATGCAAATACTTCAAATATGTATATATTACAGGTGTGTGCTTCTGGCAGACAGACTCAAATAGCCCCAATGCCTTCAGGTATTTATGCCCTTGTGTAATACCCTTACCTTGAGTAGGGGTGAGACTTGTAACTTGCTTATTTATTTTTGTTAGTGGCTGCCTTTTTTTATTGTTGTTGAAAATATATACAGCAAAATATACACCAATTCAGTGACACGGACTACTTTCTTCAAGTTGTATAACCATTCTCACCCTCCCTTCCTGAATTATTCCTCCCCCATTGACATAAACTCACTGCCCCCTAAGCTTCTTATCTAACCTTCAAGTTGCTGCTGTCAATTTGATCCCACGTGGATAGTTCTTTAAACGACCATGATGCTCAAGGCAGTCATTCTTTACTAATTAAAGTAAACTGTTGTTTGGTTTAAAAAAGACTTCAAGGGATATTTTTGGCTTAGGTTTAAAGATTATCTTAGGGCAATAGTTTTGGGAGTTCATTCAGCCTCAGTGGTTCCAGGAAGTCTAGCTGTGACTTGCTTTAAATCACTAGATTACAGCAAAGGTGATGGACATCACTTCCATAATTACATTATGTATGATTGTTTAACTTCTATCTTGCTAACAGACTCTCTCTATTGACTCTCTCCTTTGATGGCTTTCATGAAGTAAACTGCCATATGGAGAAGCTCACACGGCAAGGATCTGAAGGTGGCCTCCAGTCAACACCCAGAAAGGAGCTGAGGACCTCAGTCCAACAGGCCACAAGGAACTGAATCCTGCCAACAACTATGTGAGCTTGGAAGACGATTCTTCCCGGTCTAGCTTTCAGATGAGACCCAGCCCTGGACAACACTTTGATTGCAGCCTTATGAGGGAACCTGACGGAGAGGACCAAGTTAAGCTATACCCAGATTCCTGACCTAGAGATACTGTGAGGTAGTAAATTTGTGTTGTTTAATCTGCTAAGTTTGTGGTAATACTGTTAGGCAGCAGTAGGTAAGTAACACAGTATTCAAACCTTTAATTGATAGGATGTACCATCAAAGAAGCCTGGAGACCTCTAAACTAAAGTACCTCTAGAGCAGCAAAGGTGGGCTCCAGAGAGACACCAAAGGCCAGCAATGCTGGCAATGGGAGCCTGCGCATTTCAGTGGTTAAAAAAAAAAAGTCAGCCCAAGAACTGGGAAAGTAGAAAAACCTCAGGCTTTGTTTTGAGTTCCAGCTCTGCCTCTAAGAAGTAGGTAATTTTAGTCAACTCAGACCTATTAAGCCCAGCCTCCTCCTGGGGTTGACTGGGCTGGTAAGAGTGACCAATGAAAGCATGATCTGGAAAATATTTTATAAAATGGAATGTGATATACACATGTTTGATAACAGTCTAGTCTCAGCTTTGCCACTGAACCCTGGGGTGGCCTTAAGCAAGGCACTGCCCTCCCGTGGCCTTGGCTTCCTAATTGTAAAAAGTAGAGGAAAGCCCATACCATCTCCAAGGACTCTTTCTTTGATTCTAACAATACATGCTCATGTGAAGAGAGCCAGAGGGGAAGAGAGGAAGGTGGGCTGACATCTTATAGTTCCTCGGTCATTCCACTGGCCAGGGGTACTGTCTTACCAACAAGGCCACTGGGGATGCCTTTGTTTGACCAATCACAACTTGTCAGCTTACAAGGGCTGCAACTCAATTAACAGTGAAAATCCATAGTTGTTTTTTAAAAAGTAGATAAAGGGTCAAGGGAAAGTCAGTGAGAACTTTATTGGAATCTGATTCAAACAAACTGAAAAAAAAAAATAGTTATGATATTTATAATACAAATTGATATTCAAACACTGAAGTATATTTGATATTAAAGAGTTAATTTTTAAGGTGTGAGACTATGGTATTGTGGTTATGTTTTTTAAATCTCTTTTAGAGATATGTAATCTAAATATTTAGGGATGAAAAAATAAGATATCTTAGATTTACTTCAAAAGAACCACAAAATTTCAAAACAAATTATTGACTCACTCTCAGAAGAGGGCAGTAGCTTTGATTATTTTGCTGAGCACCTTAACTATGTGCGAAGAGCTTTTATAAACATTATCTCTAATCTTCATAACAATCTGATAATATAGGTTTTATCATCCTTGTTTTGTTGGTAGGGAAGCTGAGGCTCAGAGAGAGTAAGCCCTTTACCCAAATCACATTGCTAGTACATGGTAGGGCTGTGATTTAATTCTAATCCTATTTGATTTTAAAGGCTCTAGTCTTCACATCACATCCTGTTGGGAAACAGCGACTTGGTGGGAAGGGCAGCCTATGATTACAAAACACAGTGAAGGTTCTTGATCCACAGAGAGATCAGTATGGCTTCATTCATTCATTCCACAAACAGATACTGAGCACCAGTTGTATACCAGGCCATGTGGCGGGCAATGAGGATATAGAGTAACACTCATTCCTACTCTTACAGAGCTGAGACTAACTGGGGAGATACACTCAAATGAATGAATACATGAGTGAACAAACAAATGGATGAGCAGATGGACACACAGCAAGTCCAAGATCAGTGTTTCAAGCACCATAACAGAGTGATGTGTATTCCAATAGGATGACAAAGTAAGTGATGACTGCTGGAAGGGAAGAGCATTTCAGACAAGTGGAACAGCATGTGCAAAGGCATGATGTGTTCTGGCAATGGCAAGCAGTTCAGCATGGATGCAAGGATCAAGCCATGGAGGAGCTGGGTCTTTTGCTTGTGCTCCAACCCACTGAGCTAACTACGGTCAGTGGAGTCATCAAAGAGCCTTACGAACAAACCAGGCATGAAAATTTGTAAATGTTGTAGAACCCCATGAGTAATTCGAGAGGTCACACTCAGGGTCTAAGGCCAACCTGAGAAGTCACAGAGAAACTGGAAAAAACCACCAGGAATGGGGTCAAATGGAACAAGCCCAGATTATACTGTGCTACTGGAAAAGGTAAAAAAAGGAGAGAAGAGGAGATGCTGGGACCAAAAGGCAAGATCTCTTACAGAAGAATCTAAACTCACGCTTCTCGACTCTGTAACGCCAATGCCATGTGGAATTGCAAAGCTGAAACCTTCAAAAGGGACACACAGACACAGACATGTACATGCATGCACACACACTACACTCAGTTGTGCAGAAAGATAAAAGGTCTGGATGTTAACAGTAATGGAACTGATGCACCTGCCCATTTTTTACTGTACTGGACAGCAAAAGATAAAAACATAATCTCTTACTTTCCTCTTTAGCTGGACTTGGCTGCTGTAACTGTTTGGTTTGCAGTAGCTGTAGTTGGGAGATGATCCATCTCTGGTGCATCAAAAAAGTACGCCTGGAATAAAGAGAACAATGAGGGAAGTTAAGAAACAGTGGCCCGGGTGAGTGTTCTTCCAGACTCCATGCCAACAGTACTTTTGGGCTCTCGTGGCCCCTCCATTTCCCTCTACCACATTTGTCCCCACACTGAATTACAACTGTCTGTTTATGTCTGTCTCTCTTACTTGACTCTGAGTGCCTTTTTAAACTTAGCTACCATTTACATTATCTGACTGAATCCTCATAACAACCCTGTGAGGAAGTTATTATTATCCTCATTTGACAAATGAAGAAACTGAGGATCAGAGAGACTGTCATTTGATCCAGTGCACATGGCTAATGAGGGGTAGAGCCAGGACGCAAAGCTAGGTCTGTCTGACTCCAAAGCTCAAGCTCTTCTTGCTGTTGTTGTTAGATACTGTCGAGTTGATTCCAATGCATAGTGACCCCATGTAACAGAGAACTGCCCCACAGGATTTTCTAGGCTGTAATCTTTACCGAAGCAGACTGCCAGGTCTTTTCTCCCACAGAGCCGCTGGGTGGGTTTGAACCGCCAACCTTTCGGTTAGCAGCCAAGTGCTTAACCACTGCACCATCAGGGCTCCTTCTAAAGCTCTTAATCACTACATTTTATGGTCTTTCTTCCAGGGCAAGGACCATGTCCTTCCTCATCTCTGTGCCACCAGCACCTCACACAGGGTACAGCACCCTATGTAAATGATCAATATTTAATCAACCAAACTATGACAGATTGCTGCTAAACCAGTCAGCTCTCTGCAGACCTTTAAAAGAAAGTGCTAGAGGCAGGCCTTACATCGTAATTCTTCAGCTGGGAAATGAAAGGTTTGATAAGTGCTTCCACTCACCATCTACAATTTAACTGTCACAAATCAGAAGGAGGTGAAGGATGGAAGATGTTAGGGAGAACCTTTCCACCTATGTTTCAAGGTCTGAGAATCCCAACTTTAGCCCAGGAAAACACCTATCTCACTAGCCTCTTTATACTGGCTGCTCACAAGAAAGGTGAATCCGTCAATATACCAAGGACCATTGCGTGCTCATGCTTCTCCCTTGGAGTCAGTGCCTTAAGATAGTCAAAGACAAAAAGCCACCAAGTTAAGAACCATTTCACCAGCTCTGTTCCCTATTAGCCAGAAGGGGGCACCAACACAACACGCTGGAGCTTGCCACAACATCTACCATATTAACTCTTCAACAGTCCTTTTCGAAAAAGTTTCTAGCTGACACCTTTTTCTGCAGATTCTGTCTAGCCTGTCACATTCCCAGAGAAACTCTATTACTTTTAAAAAGGCCTCCTCCCAGGGCCCCTTCCTAACAGTCCTAAGGAAAGGTGGGTACAGGGCCCATAATGCCAGTGTTGGGTCCTCCATTCTCTTGCAGGTGCACTGAGCCACAAAGCCCCCACAAGAAGAAACTAAACCTGGCTCTGCTACCAGCTTGGTCTGTGACTTCGGGCAAATCACTCCGCCCCTGCGGGCCTCCATTTGCTTACCTATAAAATGAAAGAATTGGAAAAGATGATCTCCAAGAACTTCTCCTTGAGCAAGCTATAATTCCATGATTTATTAATTCCACAAATACTTAATAACAACCACAGCTATCATTTGGGGAGTGCCTATTGTATGCCAGGCATATACCTCATCATTAATCTACTCCATGGTCCTGTAACAGGCAATTTATCTTCATTTTAAAAACGAGAAGGCCGAGGTTCAAAGAGACAGAGATGTCCCCAAGGCTACACAACTAATACATGTCTCAGCTATGATTTGAATCCAGCTGTGTCCGGCTCTATGCTCTTCTATTCTCCAAGGCAGCCTGCAATTTGGCACCTACTGTAGAGGGAGCTGGGGTGGCACAATCGGTTTGCGATCAGCTACTAACCTGATAGCTGTCTGAACCCATGCAGAGGCTCCACAGAAAAAAGGCCCGGCCATCTGCTTCCATAAAGACTACAGCCACGAAAACCCTATGGAGCACTTCTATTCTGTAACACTGGGTTGCCATGAGTCGGGGGCTGATTCCATGGCAGCTAACAACACAACACAGGCACTGTGGATCCAGGCACTGTGGAGGCCCTGAGGATGAACCACACACAGACCAGGCTTTCTAGCTGCAGGGGTAGGAGTGTCACCTGGCAGAAAGCTAGCGCACAGTATCAGCAGTAACCACCTCGAACATGGGCTTATACATCTCCAAACATACAGGCCAAGGACACGTGCTCTAGGTGCTTCCTTAGTCATCACTCCAGGTGTGTTCCAGAACACACTTAGAGATCATTTACACGTGCAGGTGCCGAGGGGCCCTCAGCAGACGTGGGGCTGTCACATGCTTCACTACACTAAGGCAAAAACACCAACCTGTGCTCCTCAGGGGACAGTGAGAAAGCCAAGCTGTCTGGTTCAGCTAATGTCCCTCAGCTCTTTGCCCTTCCAATAATAATAATGTCTTCCATTTGTATGGATTGTCATATTTTCATGTTGCATATGATATCATTCAATCTTTACAACAATAGTAAAGATGTTACTACAGCCTAATCAGCAACTTTTTCTAAGGGAGGAGCCAGAGAGGGGAAAGAACCAAAGCAGGGAGTGGTGGAGCTGGGACTAGAACCCAAGTCTCCCACCTTCTGGCTCAGTGCTCTTGCACTGTCCATCTCCTCCAGAAGAGAAAGAAGGAGGCAATCTCCAGTGTGGAGAACAAAACCCAGGCACAGTGGGCCCCTGGCTAGTTACACGACCACAGGTTGGCTCCCTCGCTAGAGTAGAAAACGGTGCTCTTCCCTCCAAGAGGTACCTGACACATAGCAGGTGCTCTGGACCATGCAATTACTTCAGTGCTCCACTGCACAATCTGCCCTGCTCCTCTGGTTCCCTTACACAGTTGAACAAGGCAACATCTTTTCTCCTGCCTCCTTTTCTCCACCAACTTCTCAGTCAGAGATATAATGGGTAAAAAGTTCAGGAGATGCGAAGACGCCAGTGAGAGACGGTTATGTAGTTACAATGGACAGGGCACTGTCTTTAAAGTGGGAGACTTGAATTTTAGCCCACTCAATAGTTGTGTGGCCTTGGACAACTCCTACTAGGGCCCTAAAGAAGAATGATGAACAGACTAGCCCTGGCAGCTTCTGATTACAGGGGGCTCTTTTAATAACTTCTTTACATCTAAAGAGCTCCTCACAGTATATGAAGGGCTTTCACAGCCATCTTGACCAGTCTCACAAAACCCCATGACAATATGAATCTCTATGACAGGTGAGGAAACCAAGGCTCTGAGAGTTATGTCATTTGCCTAGGCTCACAACGCGAAGAGCTCCCAGTCTAGCACTTTCTACTTCATTACAGTGCTCTCTTTTGGAAAGTTCCTGAGAGCAAGATGAGCAAGTAAATCCTATCTTTAGTGCCATTTTGCCCCAAAAGGGAGTAACAGGCATAGGAGGTAAAAGATCCTGCCACAGGTATCACTGAAATAGGCTCCTAATAATAATGAAGATATCACTTCCTCCTCTATCGTCCAATCTGCCCTGCTCCTCTCTATCCCTCACAGAACTGAACAGGGCAATGGCTTTTCTTCTTCCTCCTTCTCTTCACCAACTTCTCAGCCAGGTATAAGGAAAAAATTCAGAAGAGAGGAGAAGATGCCAGTGCAAAGCAGTTAGTTACAATGGAAAGGACATTCTTCTTCAGCAGACAGAAGGGTCACAGCAGCATTTCAAGGGATCGACTCAGAGGCTCTCAGTGCCAAAAATTGATAGTGTCACTCTGCCAGGAGTCAAACCAACACTTCTGTCTCAAGAGTTTAATGCTAAGGCATGTGTGAAATGCACATAAATCAGGTCTATGTTTCAGAACTCTGCACTTTGTATGAGGCTTGTTTAATGATAAAATATAGGGATCTCACTAATGAGTCATGGTTGTCTATGCAAAAATATTAAAGATCATACGGGTCAATGAAACATCTACTCCCTCAACTGCAAAGGTTGACCAAAGGTCTGGACATGTGCTATGTAGACATGTTCTAGGTGCTTCAAGACATCTTCCCAGGGGCATGTCCTTTCCTTGATCAGTGACCTTGATACTCTTGGGCTCTGATTTTTTTCAAAGGTTGCTTCAGGGCTTGCTAAGGCCACGGACAGCAATTTTTGTGCACAATGTATACAGAAGATATTAAGCCATGTCTCTCTGGGATCAAAGGAAAGGGAATAATCCTATGTGGCAGAAAATATTATACCCATATTACAGGTTAAGAAATTAAGATTCAGAGAAGTTGGGCAGCATGCCTGAGCTCACACAGCCAGTGAGTGACAGGCCTGGTCTTCAATCTAGGCCTGTCTCACTCAAAAGGAACATGCTCTCCCTAAAAAGACACCTAAACACATGAAATAAAAAATTGATTTAAATGTTCACCTTTAATATAACTCCGTTTTCCTATATTTAACATCATTCTCAATCTTTCTAGCTATGAAACTTTAAATTTCAGAATCTTTGCAGGTATGAACAGAAAACCAGCAAAGACATCCAAAGGTAGGATTCCCCCCATTCCTGCCACCCAACCCCATTTATAGACCCATATCCACCCATACCTCCCTCTGGCAAGACACCAAGTCTTAACCAAATTTCATAAATTAGGTAAAGCTAGATATCACAATAAAATTATCATAACTTGACCCCTCCCCACCCAGGAGAGTCTATTTTAAATGATAACTATTTCAAGAAGCCATCTTAAGAGAACCACCATGTCTAACAGTTTGACATCTTTTAGCATTTGTATATAAAGCACACCAAAAGAATCCAGGAATGAGATCATACCAAACAGCCCACAGAAAGAAGCATATGAAGCAACACAATCGTCACAATTGTGGCCAATGCAATGCGCCGGTTATCTTCACGAACAGCTGGCCAAAAAGTCATTGCCAAGACAGATCCTGAGATGCCCAGAGCAATCATGACTAGAATCCAACGAACAGCTTTCTGGGGGATAATCCACAGTATCTGAAAGAAGAGAAAGGAGGGGAAGGAGGGGCTCTTTGGAGGCATTTCAGAGAGGCATTTGTTCATTCCAGGCACATATGTTTATAACTGCCCCTGAGCCAATCAGCAGCTGGGCCCCACTGCCATTCTGGTTTTTCAGTGGAGCCTAGAAACACCACCAGCATGCAGACTGAGGTGAATGCTTTGATAATGAAGGGCTTGAGTGAAGGCACTTGGCTCCCCAACCCCATCCATGCTCAACTTCTAAAGTCAAAGGGTATTTTTCACAAGCACATGAATATTGGGTGTGAGGGTGGAAATAATGATGCTGGCTGAATTTTCAACCAAAAACAGGGCATCACTCAGAATCTGCTCTGTAAGTGATCGTACTTACTGCTGTGGGGATATAAATGAAGAGTGAATATCCATAGACGCATACAATCTCCAAAAATGAATAGGAAACAATGTTCATAACTTTGCTGTTTCTCCACATGAGAAAACCCCAGAGTGCGAGAGGAACCAGCCAGGCATAGGCGTAGATGACTGTAGCTGCTATGGACACTGAGGATGAGAGGACACAAGTTTTAATCCCCATCAAGCCTTTAATATACTACTAGAGCGCTGCCGTTACCACGTTGCTGTTGTTGCTGTTGAGTCAATTCCAACTGATAGCGACCCTACAGGACCGAGTAGAACTGCCTCATAGGGTTTTTAAGGCTGTCATCTTTACGGGAGAAATCGCTGGGTCTTTTGTCCCGCAGAGCCGCTGAGTGGGTTCAAACTGCCGATCTTTCAATTAGCAGCCGAGTGCTTAGCCACTGCACCACCAAGGCTCCTTCTGCTAATACCTTACTGTACTTATTTCCTAACATGTCCATCTACTTCCCTGGACCATGGGATCCTTGAATGTAGGGATCGTGTCTTACTGGTCTTCATAGTCCCTGAACCTGGCTGAATTAATGTATCTTTAACATCTGTCTTTGCAGTGATGACCAATAGTCTCTCAAATGGTTTTTATAATTCATTTAATAACAACTAATATTATTAAACAACTGAATTAGGTAACTGAAATGCTTCACTGCAAGTGTTTAAATATACTGAGCATTTCAGTCAAATAAAGGCCAAATATCCCCTTGGAAGAACATGTCCTCTTTCCTAGTATAATAAGAGCTAACACTGATTTCTTTAGTAAATTTATTAAAATGCCCTGGGTAGAGATTAACTTGCTCTGCATGCTATTTAGAGTTCCTCCTATCTCTGAAATGGGGAGTTCCAGCTCACGGATGAATTGCTGAAAATATTCTCCAGTTTCGCTTTCTTCTTTAAATAATTCTGTCTCTGTGGTGGAAACGCTATTTAACTGCTCCTCAGAGCAGCAATGTTCAGTATATCACTGTCCCTCCTCCTCCTCCTCCAGCAGCAGCACGCTCTAGAGGATTCGTTTTTCCTCTTCCGGAGTGGAGGATCATAAAGCATGGCTAATCCCACAGCATCAGCCCTTCCCACATAAAAATCAGCAGGTAACTCACTTAATGCTGTTGGCAAGAACAAAGGCACACCGAGCAATTACAGTCAGATTTGGTGAAGACGTGATTGTCCAACAGTTTTAGCTCCCAGAGCAGCTTTTACACATTGGGAATTCCGCATTTAGCCAAGAGTAATTTTGCTGACATATTGCCTTTTTCTCAGAGAACTGAGAGAAGGGGAAGGGAATGACTACTATGGCACTGGGAGCCAGGCATCCCACTGACTGCTTTACTGACAGGCAAAGTAGTATAGGAGTCAGAGGCACAGACTCTGTACCCAGACTCTATGGGCTCACATCTTAGCTCTGCTACTTATTAGCTGTGTCACCCTGGGTGGTAAATTACTTAACCTTCCTGCCTCAGTTCCCTCATCTGTAAAATGGGAATAATGGTATACTACCTTATAAGATTATGAAACTTAAACGTGTAAAGACAGGTATACTTACAACAGCGATTGATAAATAATAAATGCTCAACCAAGTATTAGTTTTTTATATTGTTTACTAATACATAGACATATCATTTCATATAATCTGTATCCCCATTTTAGAGATGAGGAAACAGGATCAGAGAAGTTAATTGGTTTGGTCAAGGTCACATAATTAATAAGTGGTGGAAGCAGGATCTGACCCCAGATCTGACTCATACTCTTCACATAAAATGGAAATATGTTTATTGATAGGACCAATGACTATCTCACTGCTACATATATCTCATCACTCCCTGATATTGGGATGCCCAACCAAGAGAACAGATAAAGATCCTCTTGGGCTCCCAGACCCCCAGGCAGGATGGGTCACTCTTTCTTCTGCATCAGTGTACCTATGCATACCTCTGATATAAACACATATTGTTCATGATAATACTCATTTCCCTGTCTTCCTTTACTAAGTCATTAAACTACCTGACAGCAGGGTCTATATCTCATGAATAACACTGAGCTAAACTCACGTCAAAGGTCATTTGATAAGTGGAGTCGGGCCTGAATCCAGGCCTGACTCCTAAACTTGTCCTGACTCCATAATGGAGGAGAGAAGAGAAGGAAAAATGGGCATGGAAGGAAAGAGGAAAGGAAAAAGAAGGAAAGACATTTTATTTATTTACACACACACACACACACACACACACACACACGTAAATACATATATACATACACATACGTATATATAAACAGCAATAACCCACTGCCACTGAGTTGATTCCAACTCATAGCAACTCTATAGGACAGAGTAGAACTGCCCCATAGGGTTTCCAAGCAGCAGCTGGTGGACTAGAACTGCCGACCTTTTGGTTAGCAGCCATAGCTCCTAATCACTATGCCATCAGAGCTCCATAAATAGTAATAGTTAATATTTATTGCACCCTTTCTTGTACATGGCATTCTTTACATGTATTAACTCTTTATTCTTAAAATAGCCCTATGATATGGGTTTATTATTATTCTCATTTCACTGATGAGGAATCTGAGGCTGAGATAGATGAGGTAACTTGCCCAGAGTTGAAGTGCAAGTAATGGAGCTGGAATGTGAAGCCAGTGGTCTGGTCCCAGAGTCCACGCTCTCATCCAGTCTGCTATGCAACCTCTCAATAGGAGAGCAGGGAGGGAGAGAGGGAGAGAGCTGAGAAAGTGGCACAGAAGGTCAATCTTCTACAAAATAAACTTCCTCAATTTGGGGAGGTGGTCATCTGCAAGTTCCTAAAAGCTGTTTTTTTAACTACCCAATACTGACACAAGAAAGGAAGTTTTAAAACAAGAATGCCATCCACATGTCCATCACTAGGACACACTTGTTTCTGTGTTTTCCCTTCCAGATCTTGGTCATTTGCAGTGTTCTCTTTAACAAAGTTGCGCCACAGCACAGGCATAATTCTGGTTTATCAGTTCTCAGTGCTGCTCTAGATGCTTCATAATTAGTGGCTACAGACTATCCCAGCTAGTTGAGCCATCTCAACTTAAACAATAATGTTCCTACTGTTTCCAACATTTGGGTAACGCAAATAATGTTACATGAAGACCTTCATGCACACTGCTTTTTACTCATTTTGTGCATTTTCTTAGGATAAATTCCAATTGCTATTGGGCCTTGCCTTAAAGCTTTCCAAAAGATTATGTGGATTTATACTGGTGGGTGGTAAACTCTGCAACCATGTTTGAACCCTTAAACACAGAAAGCAGGGGCAGAAGCACCCAGAGAGAGGGGCCCAAGAATTCACAGGGGTAAAAGGAACTCATGGTTATACCGACAGCATTCCAAATGAATCAAACTATTCACCGACCTTTTCGGAATTCGGGCACATAATGGTAAGTCTTCTCTCCCAGATGGATTAAGAAGTTGGAAAGATTCCCGCTAATTGCTATGGCAAAGACCAATGTGGCACATATCCAAAAGGGGCCTGCAAAGGAAACCAGACAATTCAGAGACAAGGAAATGAAGCACCAGCATTTAGACTCTTACAGAATAATTTCTTGTCTCCCTCACCCTATTCATGCAGGCAAGGGAAAATGAATTTTAGATACAATCAACACTCATTTAATGGGAATTTTCTCTTTTAAAAGGTTAAAACACAATTCGGTAATTAGCTGCCTTAAAGATGGGAGGGGCTGAAATGCAAAGGCCAAAACACCTTCCACAATTAGGTGAATAAAGATACTGATTTGTTTATAGCTGCTTTTATTGGAGGATCATCAAAACACGCATGGACATTTTGTTAACCCTTCACCATCAGGATACAGGAAGCAAAGATTACTTTGCTTATCTAAGTGCCAAATGTTAATGCCAGAAAAACCAACTTAAATCAGAGTTCTTCTGCAGTATAAATGAAGACTAGGGCAAGCAGAACACTTTGGGGCAGAATCAATTTAATCTACCAGTTTACCACGGCTGTGTGTGGAGGTGTCTGTTTTAGGCTTTTTCTTTCTTTTTTTTAAATGAAAAAGTAATATATGTACATAGTTCAATGTTTAAAAGTACAAAAAGGAATATAGAGAAAAGCAAGCTTCCCTCCCTCTCTGTCCCCTATCTATTCATTTCCCCTCCCCAGAGCTCACCACCATAACCAGTTCCTGGCCTGCCAGAGATAGTCTATACATATAACAGCAAATGCATGTGTATATGTGTATCTGCGTATGTATACATGTATTTTATATGAATGCAACATACATATGTATCCTGCTCTGTACTTTTCTATTTTTACCTTAATATATCCTGGAGAGCCTACCATAGTCAGTCATAAAAACCAGTTTATTCTCAGGCCAGAAAAAGAAATAAAGGGCATCCAAATTGGTAAGGAAGAAGTAAAACTGTCCCTATTTGCAGATAATATGATGCTATACATAGAGAACCCAAAAGACTCCACAAGAAAATGACTGGAACTAATAGATTAGCAGAGTAGCAGGATACAAGATAAACATACAAAAATCAGTTAGATTCCTATACACCAATAAAGAGAACTACGAAAAGGAAATCTGGAAAGTAATACCATTTATAGCAGCCCCTAAAAAAATAAAACACTAGGAATAAATCTAACCAGGGATGTAAAAGACCTATACAAAGAAAATTACAAAACACTACTCCAAGAAACCAAAAGGGCGAAGTTGAAATTCCTCAGGCGGACATAAAAGGCCCACCATGATCTGGGCTCTGTGATCTCTTTAGCCACTCCCATAGGAAGCTTAGAGTTCAAAGAGACACAACCACCCACTCATCCCAGGGCTTGCCATGTTGCTTCATACTGCCTTCTCTCATCTCCTTGCTGCCAAATCTCTACTCTTATTATGGGGCGGGGGTGGGAGGGAGCCTTAATATAGTTTTGGATTTATGATTAAAATTTTATATTATGCATTTTTATATTTTTGAAATATTTCTAACATACACAAAAGTACAAAGAATGATAAACACTGGTGTACCCATCATGCCATTTTTTCAAATCTTTTTAATGATGTCATACTATTCACAGCCTTCTGCAACTTGCCTTTTTCATTTAGCATTGTTCTGAGACTTATCCATGTTGCTGCGTATAGATCTCATTCATTTTAAAAAACTGCAGAGTTCTACGTATGAATATACCACAATTTATCCATTCTCCTGCTGATGGATATTCGGCTGTTTCCAAATATTTGTTATTACATGCAATGCTACAGTGAATAATGTTCTATACATCTTCTAGTACATATGTAAGTTTCTAGGAATACATATCTAGGAGTGGAACTGCTAGGTCATATGGTATGATCATCTTCAAACTGTTCCAATCTGTGTACCAGTTACATGTCCAAGTTCCCATCATTCTGCATCCCAAGGGGAGTCAGCCCATCCGAAGGCAGAGCCAGAACTCAGCACTGTCACTCATTCCCTGCCATCAAATCCTCCATAAATTAAAATTAAAAAATCTCCTCTTAGACAAAGTGACTTAATTTGTCTCAAGTTTGTAATGTCATTTGAAGACTTTCAAAGGAGATACTATTACTTTTTATCATGGCATTAATATAACACATCACTGCATTTTCCCCAAAACTCTTTACAAGGTTTACTACCAAAGCTCAGAAGAATCAAAACTTTGCACGCCGTGCCAGCAGTGTGCTCCTCCAACTTTCCAGGCAGCCACATACTCACCTGAGTTCAACCAGTATATGGCAAAGAGTCAAAATGGCACTACACATACCATAGAGATCTGGATTGCTGCGGATATATAGCCTCACAAAGTTTTTTCCTGGTATCGGCAAGAGAGACCCTTTTATTCTGTCAAAGATCTGGAAAATAACATAGCAGTAAGCCTACTGAAGATTTTTTTTTTTTTAAGTTTAATAAATTCAATTACTGCAAAATTGAAACTCAGTTATTAGAGCTTTTATAATGATATATTTTTCAAATGCTAATAGCCCTTTACTTTTGTAAGCTCATTTCTAGGATACAGAGGCTTTCCTGTTATTTGACTGTTTGACCACAGAACAAGTCTCCATCACATGTAAAAGGAAAGGTAAAATTAGTATACAAACCTGGTAAGTGTCCACATCAAAGAATGTTTGATAGTATTCAAATGTCCAGAATGGGGAGCTTTTCTTCTGTCCAGCAAGTAACTATCCGAGATAAAATAAACATAATGAACATAGAAGCAATTTCCTAATTCCAGCTGCGCAGAGAGAGAGAGACGGCTCATCTATCTAATGGAAAACCAAGATGTGGGAAAGACAAGGCTCTTCATTCATAAACCAATTTTGCAACAGCCACGCCTGAGACAAAACAAGCATCAGTTTTGAAGTCACACCAAAAGTCTTCTCTACTTAACAGCTTTGGCAAATCACTAGATTTCTCTCAGCCTTGTTGTTGTTGTTAGTTGCCTTCAAGTTGATTCCGATTCATGGTGACCCCATGTGTGTAGAATAGAATTTCTCAATAGGGTTTTCAAGGTTGTGAACTTTTGGAAGCAGACTGCCAGGGTTGTCTTTTGAGGCACCTCTGGGTGAGTTCGAACCACCAAACTTTCAGCTAGTAGTCAGGCGTTGTCATGGATTGAATTGTGTCCCCCAAAAATATGTGTATTAATTTGGCTAGGCCATGATTCCTAGTACTGTGTGGTTGTTCTCCATTTTGTGATTATAATTTTCCTATGTGTTGTAAATCCTAATCTCTGCCTGTGGTTAATGAGGCAAGATTAGATTATGTTAAAGAGGAGATTAGGGTGGGATGTAACACTCTTACTCAGGTCACATCACTGATCCAATGTAAATGGAGTTTCCCTGCGGTGTGGCCTGCACCACCTTTTCTCTTACAACAGATAAAAGGAAAGGGAAGCGAGCCGAGAGTTGGGGGACCTCACAACACCAACAAAGCAGTGCTGGGAGCAGGGCGCGTCCTTTGGACCCGGGGTTCCTACACAGAGAAGCTCAAAGACCACGGGAAGATTGACGACAACGACCTTCCTCCAGAGCCACAGAGAGAGAAAGCCTTCCCCTGGAGCTAATGCCCTGAATTTGGACCTGTAGCCTACTAGACCGTGAGAGAATAAATTTCTCTATGTTGAAGCCATCCACTTGCGGTATTTCTGTTACAGGAGCACGCTAATGACTAAGACAGGCATACTCAGGCATTAACCCGTTTTTGCCACCCAGGGACTAACAAAATCTACCTTATAGGATTATAGGAAGGTGTAGATGAAATATTTTATATAGTATGTATTATGTGCAAGGAAGTCCCTGGGTGGTGCAAACAGCTAATGTGTTTGGCGGCTAACTGAAAGCCTGGAGGTTTGAGTTCACCCAGAGGCACCTCGTAAGAAAGGCCTGGTGATCTGCTTCTGAAAGGTCACAGCCTTGAAAACCCTTTAGAGCAGTTCTACTCTGACATACTTGGGATCACCATAAGTTGGAATTGACTTGACAGCAATTTTTTTTTTAATTATGTACAATTACATATATATACACACACACATACAGTAGGCAGTCAGTGTAAATGTCTTTCCCTGCCCTACCCCTTCAAGATCCTTACCACTATTACCACCTGAATTCTCAAAAATCTGATATTTTCATTTACTCTAAAGTACTAAAAACTTAAAATATTACTGCTATGACATAAAAACAAAAATCACGATTTAAAACAGGCACACGAGAAGGGCCAAACCTGTCCCAACAGCATGGCTCTTTGATGGTAGAATACAGAAAACCAGGAATCCTGACTGTCATCTGCAGATATCCGAAGAGGATTCATGCAGTAAAAGGTACAGACTGACTCTGAGCTGCTTTACAGGACAAGGGCAGGTGCTATTGGTAGATTTTTTTGTTCATCGTAAAGGAAAAATCTTCACAATTAAAGTTGCCCAATAATGGCTTGGGCTGCCTTACACAGTAGAGGACAGCCTGTTCTTGGAGGTATTCAAGTGCCATGTTTCTGACATACCATGGACAGCATTATCATCTCGGAACAGAGGAGGATGAAAGAGAGGACACTGAAAGTTCTTGTCAATGCTAGTATTATAAGCTATTGAGCGCCGGAGACCCATATTCCATAAACCAGGCCAAAGAATTCTGTCACCATCACCGAATACTGGCAGCCTCTTCCCAATTCATAGACAAAAATAAGATAATGGATAGAATTTTTCAATTTTAAGATTTTTTTCCCTATACATTTCTTCTTAAACTTATGATGTCTGCTATTGCTCGTGATACTAATAATCACCCCTGTATCCTGAAAGCACTAGCCACTTTAAGAAGCACTTAACATACATTAACTCCATGGAGTACAGAGGTTCTGAGCACAGGCTCCAGATTCCTTGGTTTAAAGTCCCAGTCGGCTATCTGCTTGCTGTGTGTCCTGGGGCAAGGTGCTTAAACTCTATGCCTTGGGTTTCTCATGTGTAAAATGAGGATAATAAGAGTACCTGGTTCATAGGGTTGTTTTGAGGATTAAATGAGATAATCCAAGTAAGGAACATTAAATGGTGGCTGGCAGCTATTAAACACTGAATAAATATTAGCTATTGTGATGATAATGATGACAACGGTCAACGTATCATTTTTTCATATTTTCAGATAAGGAAACCCTGGCTTAGGGAAGTTAAAGTACCAAGACCACACAGCTATTACTACTGGCAGGACCAGGATTCAAACGCAGGGCTGTATGGCACCTAAGTCTGAGCTTCTGCCACAATATCTAGGATAAAATGGTATCTAATTTAGCATAAAATTCGGTATTTAATTATTTTGATATTTCATGGAGTTTCACAAAGAGCACCTGGCATCCAAGAGCTACACTGTTTTAATACCGTTGACCACTGCTATAAGCTGAGTGCTCCTCTAGTGCACTGCAATCATGATTTGATTTATAAAATACTAATAGAAATATTACTCTTCTGGAACATAACAATGGTATACATGAAAATATACCTTTGTGATCAAAAACAGCCACCTGATACAGCAACCAGTTCAGAAACCTAGAAGTCTCCCTAGACGACTCCTTCCCCATTCCCTACCCCTTTTCCCACCAAATCCTGCTGAGCCCACCCCCATACATCTGTGTCTAACTCTAGTTCAGGTTTCATCACTTCTAGCCTAGACTATTTCAACAGTCTCCTACCTGGTCTTCTGGCCTCTAGTCCATCTCTCTCCATTTCATATTCCGTATGCCCACCACATCTTAACTATATCTGGCCATATTGCTAAAAATCTTTCAAAAGCTCCCCATGTTTTTTAGAATACAATTCATGCCCATTGGGTTGACTTCTTGCCTACCTGTCGGGCCTCATCTCGTCTTCACCTATGCTTTGCTCCTAGGGTATCCAAGCTCTTAGTTTCCTGTCTGTACCATAATCTTTCATGCCTCTGTAATGTCCCTAAAACCATTCCCTTTGCCTAGATCACCCTTCTCCACGTTCTTCCCCTGGCTAACTCCTACTCTTTCACCGAAACTCATTTTAGCAATCATTTTAGCAAAAACAAAGATGAGAAGGCAGGAAGGTACAGGAAAACTGGATGAATGGACACAGAAGGCCCGGGGTGTAAAGGGAAAGGGAGACAGTGCTGACACATTGTCAGGATGGCAACCAATGTCACAAAACAACTTGTGTATAAATTTTTTAATGAGAAACTAATTTGCACTATAAACGTTCACCTAAAGCATGACAAAATCTAAAAAAAGAGAAAAAAAGACTCATTTTAATGTCACCGCCTCCAGGAAGCCTTCCCTAACTCCTTTTGGCACCCACAACCCCGTGTTTCCCTCTACCACTGCACTTCCAGCATGTAGTAGTGGTCTGTCTGAGGTCTGTTTCTCCCACCAAGGCAGAGGCCACGTCTGACTGACCTTTGTGTTGCCACTGCTTGGCAATGAACTGGGCACAGAGAAAACAGTGAATACATGTATGAGCAAACTTTTAAAAAATGAAAAAACAACACTTCAAAGACAAATCGAACCTCAGTTTTGTCAGAGTCATCGTTCCCCAGTAACTCATCATCCTCTTCTCTCCCTGAGCCTCTCGGGGGTCCTGGCTGATGCTTTGGGGTTTCACCAGGATCCTCAATGCTTATTGTGGTGTCATCCGAGTTTGCCACTAGAGAACTGGCTGCATCACCAAATTCTGAAATTAATTAGAGCACAAGGGCATCACAGACCTTACCCACACTGGGAATGCTATACTTTAAAGACAAACTGTTCCAACCTCAGCTTTGCCATAGACCCTATCTGACATAAATGGCAAAAGGCTCTGAAAAAAATTTCATCTAGAAATTAAGCTGACATAGAAAAATAATTAAGATGAAACAGAATTTGGAGTCAGATCTGGGTTTCCATCCTGGCTCAGCTACTTACTAACTATATGAGCCTGACTAAGTAAAACTATCAGCCTCAGTTTTCTCATCTATACAATGGGGAAAATAAAATTTATTTTAAAGACTTTTGGGAGAGTTAGAAGTATTACCTACGTAAAGTTCCCTGCAGAGTCCTGGTGGCACAGTGGTTAAGAGCTACAATTGCTCACCAAAAGGTCAGCAGTTTGGAATCCACCAGCCACTCCTTAAAAACCACAGGGGGAATTATACTCTGTCTTATAGGGTCGCTATGAGTCAGGGTCAACTCGACAAAAATGGGTTGGGTTTGGTTCTGGTAAAGTCCCCTGTCCACAGCCAGTACCCAATCTAAATCTCTTCTTTGACTCAAGTTCAAAGAGTTTTAACGAAAGTTATTTTTCCAGTAAGTCATATGTAATCACGATAAAAAATATGGAGACAAAAATGAAAATACAAACCATAGAAGAAAAATCATTCTTAGACCCACCACACAAAGGCAAACACTAACATTTTGGTATATTGCCTTTTCTCTACATAGTGAGACTCATGCCAGTGATGATCACTCAACAAACATTTACTGCACACCTACAATGTGTCAAGTACTAAACTAGGATGTGGTAATATTATATAACTTTGCTTCCTGCTTTGGATACTGGTGATTACATTAAAAATGATGTTTTCATCTTATAATAGTCTTTGCAATGCTTATTTACACAGCTTCATAATATTCCATCAGCTGCAGAAGCAGAGGGCGTAAAGTTACACAATTATTCCACTGTTACTGGATGTTTGAGTTGTTTCCAATTTTTTATTATTATAATAACACTGTGAAGAGTATCTGAGTAGAGAAGGCCTTTTGGGTTATAGCCTTGTTCTTGTCGTTAGTTGCCACTGTATCAGCTCTGACTCTTGGTGACCTTACATATAACAAAATAAAACGTTGCATCATTAGTATGTTTGAGTCCATTGTTGAGGCTACTGTGTCTATTTATCTCATTGAGGGGTTCTCTCATTTTTGCTGAGCCTCATTTTACCAAACATAATGTCCTTTTTTAGTGATTGGCCTTTCCTAATGAACACCTATCAATGCAATCACTAGGTTAAAGGGAGCGAACCATTTTTAAGGCCCTTGAGCCATATTGCTAAACTGCTTTCAAAAGAACCTTACCAATTTATTTATGTCCACCAGCAATGACTGGTATTTCCTGTCTCTGGGCATCCTAACAAATGCTATTTAGCTGCTCTTGAATAAAATTCAGGGAACCGCTGAACCTTGGAAGAACTAAGAAAGGATACCAGCAGGGCACCATTATAACGCTAAAGCACGGCACAAATCCTATGACTGGCAGTAGAATGGGGCTTTTGGATAACTGAGCTCACTCTTAATGCCTCTTGCTAAATGAATAATTTTATGGAGAACTAAAATGAATGAAATTAATCAGGTGGCTGAGATGTAACAATTATTCAATTACTCAAGCTTCCGTCTCCAATGTTTGGGTTGTTGGAGCAGCATGAGGCTCTGGAGTGGTATGCTCCTTTGTTCAAGCCAAGGCTCTAACACTCAGTAGCTCCATGACCTTGGGCCAATTACTCCCTATCTCTGAGTTTGTTTCTTCAAATATAAAATGTAGATAACACTTGGCACACAGAGACATTTTGAGGATGATATGAGATAATATTGTTATAGCTACTATTTATTGACTAGACAAGGCATTGACATTTAAAAAGATGGTTACAACTTTGCCTGAGGCAATCAGGCTAAGGAAAATATACTTAAGTCATATATTTAAAAAGCAGTAGTTTACCAAGGATAAAGGAGAGAGTGCCACTTTAGAAGTACAAAGGTCAAAGAGGTTCAAAGGAAGACGGTAACTCATCTAGGTGACAGGATCAGGAAAGGTTTCTCGGAGAAGATACCATTTGAGAAGGATTGGCTTGGTGGGGATGGCATCTCAGGCAAAGGGGATGGGATGAGCAAGGCCCAGAAGACAGCAAGTGTGCCCACGTCTGAGGGAAGCAGACGGCATAGGTTGGATGGAGAGCAGAGTGTGTATATCTCTAACATGACGACTCCTCACACATTCTGCTTTATATTAGTGATTCTTGTCCATCTCAGCTCCTTAAGGGCAAGACTAGTGTGTTTCTTATTTCTACCATCAACACTGTCTGCTCCTCTATCCTTTGCCATTTTTGCCTCTGTTCCTTCCCTGACATTCTTCCACCTGAAGGGTCCTGATCTCCACTTTTTCATCTGACCAACACTATACCATTCCTCCTTGAAGAAGCCTTCCATGACCACCACAGCACCCGTGTTCTCTTCTAAAGACTAAAGTCCTTAACACAGTTTATAAAGTCCTGTGTGATCTGACTCCTTCCTCATCTTGTGCCAGCCTCCCTAACCATCTGTGCCCTGGTAGACTGGTCTTCTTTCAACTTCTTAGGGAAAAAAACAATTCCTCCTTCCTCAAGGACTTTGCATGTTTTCTTCTCTATTCTGTATTGCTAGATAAGGTGGTCAAAGAAGGCCTCTCTACTGAAGTAAGATTTGAACAGAACGAGGGAGCAAGCCACGTGGCTAACTGGAGAAAGAACATTCCAGACAGAAAGCTGGCACAAAAGTCCTAAGCTCTGAGCGTACATGGTATGTAGGAAGAACAGTGACAAGGCCTGTGTGACTGGGGCAGAGAGCAAGAGTGAGAGCAGCAGGAAATGAAATCACAGACGGTGGATCACGTAGGACCTTGTAAGCCACAGAAAGGGCTATCACTCCAAGTGAGATGGGAATGGAAAGTTTATCCAGGAATGAGATGATCTTACTTAGCTGTAAAAGAACTACTCTGGCTGCAGAGTGAAGTACTGACTGTAGTAGGGCAAGGGAGGAAGCAGGGTAACCAGTAAAGTGAGGGCTATAATCCAGACAAAAGGAGCCCTGGTAGAGCAGTGGTTAAAGTGCTCGGCTGCTAACCAAAACGTTGGCTGCTTGAACCTACCAGTTGCGCCATGGGAGACAGACATGGCAGACTGCTTCTGTGAAGATTACAGCCTTGGAAATCCTATGGGGCAGTTCTACTCTGTCCTATAGGGCCACTACGAGTTGGAATCTACTTGACGGCAACAGGTTTGGTACGAGTATAATTCAGACCAGAAGTGATGGTGACCTTGGGCATGGTGATACTAGCAGAGAAGGTGGGACGTGGTCAGATGCTAGATGTGTTTTGAAGACAGAGCTGACAGCATTTGCCAATGATTTGGATTTCTCTTTAAACATCCTATCTCTTCTTCAGATAGTAGAGAGGCAGCATAGGCTGAGGAGCCAGACTGCCTGGGTTTAAATCCTGGCTTTACCACTTACTAAATTTGACGTTTAGGAAAATTACTTAATTTTTCTGTGTCCCAGTTTCCTCACTGGTAAACAAGGATAATAAAGTACCTACTTCATAAAGTTGCTTTGAGGATTGAAGGAGTTAATACTTAAAAAGCACAGGCCTGACATATATTAAGTTCTATGCAAATGCTTCCATCATCCACCTGTCAGTTTGTCATATTGTGGGGGCTTGCGTGTTGCTATGATGCGTGAAGCTATGCCACTGGTATTTCAAATACCAGCAGGGTCACCCATGGTGGAAAGGTTTCAGTGGAGCTTCCAGACTAGACAGAGTAGGAAGAAAGCCCTGGCAATCTGCATCAGAAAACTAGCCAATGAAAACCCATGGATCACAATAGAGTACTGTCTGATCTAGTGCTGGAAGATGAGCCCCCTATGTTGGAAGGCACTCAAAATACACAGTGGTCACAACAATGGACTCAGGCATACTAACGATCGTAAGATGCAGCAGGACCAGGCAACTTTTCGTTCTGTTGTACATGGGGTCGCCGTAAGTTGGAGCCAATTCAACAACAACAAATATAAACCTTTATAAGATAAATAAGCATTTCTCAATCCCTGGCCCAGGTCAGGTTCTGGGTTATAAATTCTAATATCCCCCTAAACTTTTCCTCCAGCACTCTCATAGTTTGTAGATATATATTTGAATGATCATTTACAAATGAATGTCTCCCTCACTAGACTAAGAGCTTCGTAACAGCAGAAACTCTTCTGTTCACTCTTCTATCCCTGATAACTAAAACAACTGCCTGGTTCATGGTCACATTCATGAGATTCTTGTTGACTCAATGAAAGAATGACCCAATCATATTTTATTGTAACTACCTCTTTACAAGGAGGCCTGGTTGCACAGTGGTTAAGCACTTGGCTGCTAACCACAAGGTTGACAGTTCAAACTCACCAGCCATTCCGCAGGAGAAAAATAGGGCAGTCTGCTCCTGTAAAGATTTACAGTCTTGGAAACCCTATGCGGCAGTTCTACTATGTCCTATAGGGTCGCTATGAGTCTGAATCGACCTAAGGGCAACAGGTTTGGTTTGGTTTGGTTTATCTGTTTACACTACTCCACCAATGTATAAACTTCTCCTTTATCTTTTCATCTCCAGTACCTAGTACAATTTCAAGCACAAAGTAGATGTGCAATAAATATAATGCAATAAATGTAAATGCAAGAATGGTAATGTAATCACAGTACTAAATTTATGATGGTACCTATCACCAATCTAAAAAAAGAAAGGCTGCGGTGGACAAACAAAAACACCTGAGCACGGTCAACATTCTTTTAGCAAGATTTTTGAAATAATTTTCTTTAATGCATGAGCCAGTACAGCAATGAAAATCTGTTGCTATGATTGTGGAAATAGTGCTCATAAACATAAAGATCAGCAACCAACTGATATACCTTCAAACTGCAAGTCATCTACAGCTGCCATTCAGCCAGTGGGTCTTCGACCATATATTAGGAAGAAAATTTGTCGGGGCTAAAAAGAAAAAAATAAACGATGAATAACAAGATAATACATCCGCAAACAAATCTCATTTCAGCATTAGAAACGGCACTGCTTTTCCTTGCTTTCTTTTTCAGTAGAGTTTGACAGGTTCATATAAAGGTAACCACTTAGCATCAGATATTATTAAAACTATTTTAAGGAATAAAGAAAGAAATGAAAAAGAACCCTAGGGTTAAAGGTTCCATCCAATCTCACTCACAGCCTGAGTGTTTAGGGACTAGGGACGAGATGCAGTCAGGAGACAGAAGGATAAGAATTGGGAGGCTGAGGTTGGAAGGAGGTGACTAAAGGGACAGTGAAGAAGAGCAAAGGCGGTTCAGCCTAGCCAGTGGTTAAGGGCACTGGCTCTGGGGTCAGACAGACCTGGGTTTGACTCCCGATTCTGCTGCTTCTCGCTGCGTGACTGTGGGCTCCTCGGGGCCTCAGATTCCTCATCTGTAAAATGGGTTCATAATGGTAGCTACTAACACGGCTGTTGGGACCATTAAATGAAGACAGTGCATGTAAGCCGCTGAGCGCAGAGCCAAGCAATTAATGCGGCTGGTAAGTGTTGGCGACCATGCAGCCTAGGGCACCACGAACCCAAGTTGGTCTGGGAAAGAGCTGCCCCGGAAGCCAAGGCAATGTTTTAGAGAGAGGAGCTGAGCCACAGCTGCCCGGGCCAGGTGTTCCTGGCACCTCTCCGCTCCAGGCCGGCCCCGCAGCCCAGGCTACCTCACCTTACCAGGCTCAGCGTCCTGCGGGCCCCGGAAAGGTTAGTACCTGGGATGCTCGGCGCCTGTTCCGGTCCCACGAAGTTGCCGGAAGCCGGAGATCCGGGGGGCGGAATTTCTCCGCCTCCTCCAGACAGAGCCAGGGCTCCTTAAAGAGGCAGTACCCAGTACTAAGGTTTCAGGAGCCTTAGAGGGCCGAGGCATTCGGAAGCCTCTCCCACCTTCGCCTCTCCGGGGGGGAAGCGCATGTTCTTAAAGAGACAGGCTCAGCCGAGGAGGAGAGGCAAGTCTGAGAGGATCCAGCTTCGCTGGCTTCGCTGCGTTTGGCCCACAGAATTCTTCCCAAGAGTGCTAGGTTTTTTTTTTTGCCATTTGTTTATACCTCTTTTCTTATGGGAATTTACAATAGCGTAAAGACGATTGTGAAGAGAGAGAGAAAAAAAAGCCATCAGTGTCATCACTACATTTTGGCCATAAAAATTTAACCAGTGAGGGAGTGAATGAGTCAATTACTTCCTGAGTTTGTGAATGAATGATTGAGGGCAGAATAATGTCTGTTCGTCTGGGCACCCTCAGGAGTCAGAACAGGCCGAGCACAGAATACCTGGGTGCGGTCACTTCTGGGAGAGGGTGTTGTCACTCCTGGGACAGTCCACCTTATGCCCAGGGCAGGGAATACGGGACAGGCAGGAGGGCGGTAGGGATAGGCACCACTTACCCCGGTGTTCTCCACGACACCTGACTACCATTTCAAATAGGACAGAGACCCAATAAACGAGGGTGGAGTTGCACTGAGGGACCAGATGAGAAACGTTTTGCCCCACCTTCTGTTTTTACCTGGTTAACACCAATACAACCCTCCAGGCTTCAGTGTCTCTTTTTTTAATTTTTTTAAATTTTATTTTGTTGTTATTGTTGAGAATATACACAACAAAAATACACCCATTCAACCATTTCTACATGTACAATTTCAGTGACATTAATTACATCCTTCAAGTGTGCAACCATCCTCACCCTCCTTATCTGAGTTGTTCCTCCCCGATTAACATAAACTCACTGCCCCCTAAGGTTCCTATCTAATCTTTTGAGTTGCTATTGTCACTTTGACAACTACAATCTTCTCTCTGTTTATCATGATTTTGCTTATTGGTCCAGTTGTGAGGGGTTTTGTTTTCTTTATGTTGAAGTGTAATCCATACTGAAGGCTGTAGTCTTTGATCTTCATCAGTAAGTACTTCAAGTCCTCTTCACTTTCAGCAAGCAAGGTTGTATCATCTGTGTATCACAGGTTGTTAATGAGCCTCCTCCAATCCTGATGCCCCGTTCTTCTTCATACAGTTCACCTTCTCAGATTATTTGCTCAGCATACAGACTGAATAAGTGTGGCTAAAGGATACAACCCTGACGCACACCTTTCCTGACTTTAAACCATGCAGTATCCCCTTGTTCTGTTTGAACAACTCCCTCTTGGTCAATGTACAGGTTCCTCATGAGCACAATTAAGTGTTCTGGAATTCCTGTTCTTTGCATGTTATGCATAATTTGTTGTGATCCACACAGTCAAATGCTTTTACATAGTCAATAAAACACAGGTAAACATTTTTCTGGTATTCTCTGCTTTCAGGAAGGATCCATCTGACATCAGTAATGATATCCCTTGTTCTACGTCCTCTTCTGAATGTAGGTTGAAATTCTGGCAGTTCCCTGTTGATGTACTGTTGCAACCGCTTTTCAATGATCTTCAGCAAAATTTTACTTGTGTGTGATATTGATATTGTTTGATAATTTCCACATTCTGTTGGATATCTTTCTTTGGAATAGGCATAAATATGGATCTCTTCGAGTCAGTTGGCCAGGTAGCTGTCTTCCAAATTTCTTGGCATAAACGAGTGAGCACTTCCAGTGCTGCATCCGTTTGTTGAAACATCTCAATTGGCATTCCGTCAATTCCTGGAGCCTTGTTTTTCGCCAATATCTTCAGTGCAGCTTGGACTTCTTCCTTCAGTACCATTGGTTCTTGATCATATGCTACCCTCCTAAAATGGCTGAACGTCAACCAATTCTTTTTGGTACAGTGACTCTTTTGATGCTTCCTGCGTCATTCAGTATTTTGCCCAGAGAATCCTTCAATATTGCAACTAGAGGCTTGAAATTTTCTTTAGTTCTTTCAGCTTGAGAAATGCCGAGCATGTTCTTCCCTTTTGGTTTTCTATCTCCAGATCTTTGCACATGTCAGTAATACTTTACTTTGTCTTCTCCAGCTGCCCTTTGAAGTCTTCTAATCCTTCTTCTTTGTTTCCAACTTTCGCATTCCAGTCACCAGTAATTATCAATGCATCTTGGTTGCATGTATGATCATTCTCAGACTGCAGAAGTTGGTAAAAACCTTCAATTTCTTCATCTTTGGCCTTAGTGGTTGGTACATAAATTTGAATAATAGTCGTATTAACTGGTCTTCCTTGTGGGCCTAGGGATATTATCCTATCACTGACAGCGTTGTACTTTAGGAAGGATGTTGAGATGTCCTTTTTAATGATGAATGCAATGCCGTTTCTCCTCAGTTTGCCACTCCCAGCATAGTAGACCATACGATTGTCCGATTCAAAATGGCCAATACAATTCATTTCAGCTCACTAACACCTAGGAAATTGATATTTACGCTTTCCATTTCATTTTTGATGACTTCCAATTTTCATACTTCGTACATTCCATGTTCCTGTCATTAATGGATTTTGCAGCAGTTTCTTTTCATTTTGAGTTGTGCCACATCAGCAAATGAAGGTCCCGAAAGTTTGACTCCATCTACGTCATGAAGGTAAACTCTACTGGATCCATAAGCAACATCATGATAAATGGAGAAAAGATTGACGTTGTCAAGGATTTCATTTTACTTGGATCCACAATCAACACTCATGGAAGCAGCAGTTAAGAAATCAAAAGACACATTGCATTGGGGAAATCTGCTGCAAAATACCTCTTTAAAGTGTTGAAAAACAAAGATGTCACCTTGAAGATGTAAGGTGCATCTGACCCAAGCCATGGTGTTTTCAATTACCTCATATGCATGCGAAAGCTGGACAATGAATAAGGAAGACCAAAGAAGAATTGACACCTTTGAATCATGGTATTGGCAAAGAATATTGAATATACCATGGACTGCCAAAAGAACGAACAAATCTGTCTTGGAAGTACAACCAGAATGCTCCTTAGAAGCAAGGATGGCGAGATTACATCTCACATACTTTGGACATTTTATCAGGAGGGATCAGTCCCTGGAGAAGGACATCATGCTTGCTAAAGTAGAGGGCCAACGAAAAAGAGGAAGACCCTCAACAAGATGGACTGACACAGTGGTTGCAACAATGGGCTCAACCATAGCAACGATTGTGAGGATGGTGCGGGACTGGGCAGTGTTTCGTTCTGTTGTACATAGGGTCGCTATGAGCTGGAACCGACTTGACAGCACCTAACAACAACAACAACTACTTTGAGGAGACAGCTCTTCCCCAGTCATATTTTGAGTGTCTTCCAACCTGAGTGGCTCACTATATCAGACAATGTTCTGATGCTATTCATAAGGTTTTCACTGGCTAATTTTTTTCAGAAGTAAATTGTGAGGTTGTTCTTTCTAGTCTGTCTTAGTATGGATGCTCAGCTGAAACCTGTCCACCATGGGTGACCCTGCTGGTATTTGAATACCACTAGCATAGCTTCGAGCATCACAGCAATATGCAAGCCACTACAGAACGACAAACTGACAGATGTGTGGGGTGTTTTCTTATCCATTCTGCCAATCCCTGCCTTTTGATTGGAGAGTTCAATCCGTTTACATTTAAAGTAATTGCTAATAAGGAGGGACTTACTTCTGCCATTTTACTATTTATTTTCTGTATGTCTTCTACCTTTTTTGTCCCTGATTTCCTCCAATACTGTCTTATTTTTGGTTTAGTTGATTTTTTGTACTGAATTATTCTGATTTGCTTCTCAATTCCTTTTGTGTATTTTTAACAGATATTTTCTTTGTGGTGACCATGGAGATTACATTTATGATCTTAAATTTATAACAACCTAGCTTAAATCGATATCAATTTAACTTTAATAATATACAAAAATTCCATTCCTATACCACTCCTCTCCCCTTTATCTTTTTGTTGTCACAAATTACATATTTACATATTGTGTGCCCAATAACATAAGTTTATAATTTTTTGTGCATTTGTCTTTTTAATCATATAGGAAATAACAAATAGAGTTATAAACCAGGACCTTTACTAGAGGTCTTTTTTTGTGTGTGTGTCAGATTGCTTCTAGTTACTGTATAGTGTCCTTTCATTTCAAGCTCAAGGATTCCTGTTAGCATTCCTTGTAGGGCAGGTCTACTGGTAATAAACTCGTTCAGCTTTTGTTTATCTGGGAATGTCTTAATTTTATTTTTATTTTTGAAGGACAGTTTTGCCAGATATAGAATTCTTGACTGACAGGTTTTTACTTTCAGCACTCTAAATATGTCATTCCACTGCATTCTGGCCTCCATGTTACTGAGGTGCTTAATCTTTTTGAGGGTTTCTTATATGTGATAATTGCTTCTCTCTTGTTTCTGTCAAGATTCTATCTTTATCTTTGGTTTTTGAGAGTTTGATTATAATGTCTTGGTGTGGAGCTCTTAGGATTTATCCTACTTGGAGTTCCTGGAGCTTCTTGGATGTGTATATTCATGTCTTT